AAAACAGATGAGGAGAAGCTCTGTTTGTTAACATGACACTGACAGATGAGGGAAGAGCAGAAGCCAGATATCATACCGCTGTAGGAGTGCTGACTGGACTCAGTGGAGAAGGTACCGCAGCCCAGGTTGATGATACGCACTCTCGGTACCCATCCACTGAAATCCAGCAGGACATTTTGCAGCTTCATGTCTCCATGATAGACGCCTTTGCTGCGCATGTCCACGGCTGCGTCCACCAGCTGCCTCAGGATCATCTGACACAGAGACACACAGAGACACAGCTGGAATCTCAACCTCAGAGTGAACAAATGTACTGTTCCAGCTGTGGTATGAACTAACTCAACCACACAACACAAGAACACTCCACCGTCATGGTTTGTACCTTTGCCTCACGCTCCTCCAGGTGTCCTCCTGTGTGCTGCAGGTACTTCTGGAGGTCACAGGCGTGAAGTGGCCTTTCTGTGACTAGGATGAGCTCCCCGTCCACAAGGAACCAGTCCAGAAGGGACACTACACTGGACCGTCCCACGGATCCTGGTAGACCTGCAGCCTTCAGCAGGAGGGCCACTTCGGAAAAGATGCTGTAGCATTTCCCATTGTGCATCTGAACAAAATAAAAGCACAATTATCAGGTGGTGAAGGAGCTGCTGTGCTGGAAGCTGAAGCTGCTTTGAGAAGGCAAAGTTTGGGTCTAAGCAGATGTTGTTGAGGGATCAGATGATTTAAGACATTCAGGTTTTGTTTCCTACAAAGTTGTGCAGTTGTTAAAGTGGAAGCTTTTCTGTGCCTGTGTTACCCTCAGTCAAGGCAGAATAGTGAAGAAATGTTCAACATTAGGGTTTTAGTTTTAACAGTTTGTGCTGCTGGTCGTCAGATCAAACTACTCACAACTTGTTCAGTGCTGACGGCCCTCGCAGGAATATATTTGATGGCCACCTGTAGAGACAGAAACACATCCTCTGGTTGGTTCTTTCTGAAGATCAGTGAATGATGAATGTCTGTGAGCACGTGTTTCTAAGACTTACTGGTAGATTGTCAGCTCTCCTGACGCCTGCATACA